CATTCGATATTTCTCTGGTAATCTATTAATATTATCAATATCATCTAGATAATGATGTGAATCAATTAGAATTGTATCATTTTCATATAAATTTTCAATATTACATAATAAATTATTATCTTGATCTATACATAATTCTTCTGAATGTAATAAAATAATAAGATTTTCTATTTTAATATCAAGTAATTGCTGAATATACGAACGAAAATCTCCTAGAGTCCATTCAGAAACAGGAAATTGACGTTTACAATAAAATGATTTTAAATTACATTCAATTCTTAGAATCATATTTTTACTCATCTTTGTTTCTCACTACGACAAAACACTTTCAATCGATAATTAGATAAATTTAAAAAAAGAAAAAGAACATCAATTGGCGCTATTAAACACGAGAAAAATTTATTTCAAATTAAAAAATGAAAGGAAAAATTTGATTTTTTGTTCGTTTTTCTTCATGTTGTTGTGGAAAATCTAAATGATTAGTGTGAGTTGGATTTTGTAAATGATCTATATTAAAATGATGATGACAATGACAACGACAACATTCAAATGATGTTGGAATTGTATACCATGCAGTAACATCAAAATTTGATATATTTAATTGATCATTTGGAATTGAACTTATATTAGATAAACTTAAATGAGATGTTGAATTATTTGAATGTATTTGAGTTGATTGAAATTGATGAAAATTTTCATTTGATAAACTTATTGATGATAGATTTTTATCATATGATATTCCTGAATCTTTTGAATAAGATAAAGACCATGAATGACATTCACTTAAATCGACCTAAACATATATTTTTATTAAAAGACTGATTGAAGAGACTAAACAAAAACAAAAAAAAATCATATTTACATAATCATTATTTGTTGATGATTGTTTTAATTCATATGATATATATTCATAATCTTTTGGTTTTGATACTGAACAACAAGATGAAATTTCTAAAAAAAAAAGAGAGAAGAAAATAATTGAACATTTTTTGAAAAATCTAAAAAAGAATAACTAACTTGTTTTTGTAGAAGTTTGTTTATCTTGTGATGATGATCGAATAGTTTGAATAGCATGAGCAATTTTCTATGACAAGAAACAATGCAAAGATAAGTATCATATCATCGATAAAGATTGACTTACTTGTCGTATAGTTTTTGACATATTGTATTATGAATTAGTTAATGATTGCAATTGTTGTTTATATAGGGATGAAGAACGAGTGTCTGTTATAGAGATAAAAAAAAGAATCAAGTGTCAAGTGATTAGCTGTTTTTTTTTTAATGCTCATCCATTTTTCTTTTCCATGGCTAACTTATCTCTTTCTTGACTAATTAGATACGTCTATATTGTTGAGTGTAATTAAATATTGATAATCT